GAATCCTCTTAACAAGCAGTGTGAAATTAATTACTCTTTGAAAAAGCTATCCTGACAGGGTTAACGCAAGGGAGATTAATTACGTAGAAAACTGTATTAAAATGGAGCTAACTCTAGCAACCATTTGTCAAAACTACCAGAAGCAAATCAAAACTCAGAAAATGAGTTAAAGTTTTTCTCAGCTCCCACTAGGCAAAAAAGCAAGAAAAATCCCCCCCTCCCCCTTTTTTTAACACTTAAAAAGCCCCTGATGAGCTCATGCACCTTGCCCCATGTAACAAACGTGGAGTGGAAAAAGAGGGCCAGCAAGTTCTGAAGGCATCAACTTTCTCATCCATAGGAATCTATGGATTAGAAATGGGAGAAGTGGTTTGCTAAAAATAAAATGTATTCTAAAGATAACAGGAGAAAGCAGAGACTTTTTTTTTTCTCAGGGTTAAAAGTTGTAAAGCTTTAAAAAGTCCTGTATGCAAATAACACGTTCACACACTTCCAAAGCTGAGATTACGTCCCCAAAAGGTAGGTCTGCTGAAACTTTTCAGTTGAAGGAAGTTGACCCATTATGAAGAATACTCGGATACAGGAAGAATCGGGGGCCCGAGAATCCCAAAATGACACGAATTTTCAAAGAAACTAAAGTTCCTGTCACTCTGCCCCGGGAACACAGATGAAAACAGGTTTTATAAGTCTCCTTAGCTGATGCCTGTTGGTGAAAGCATTTTGGAGGACTCTGTAGGAGTGAAGGAGAGGGAGGAGGTAGAAAGCTCTCTTAAATGCCTGGGCAATGCAAAAGGAGAGAAACCAAAAAATTTGGGTTCATGTGATAATTTTTATGGATTCTGCTAAGGTTAGATATCCCTGATTGATTGATTTTATTCCCATTGACTGCTTAGTTCCATCTAAGTCTTCAGTTTAGATATGAAAACTATTTTTTAGGTTAAGATGAGAAAGGTAGAAGAGAGCCTCTGTGAGTCATTTTAGGCTGACAATGTACAGCTGCTGTTTGAATGTACACATCATAAAAAAGCACCTATCACCCCTGCCTATGTAAAAGCCCCTAAAGTGCTTCCTTTCCGCTACTAGCACTCGCTGCTCAGTGACAAGGAAAGCAGTTAAGGTGTGCACAGGAAGCTAAGTGACTATTGACTTTTTTTTTTCTATAAGACACACCAAAATTTTTATATAGCAAATGGATTGCTTTTACGAGGGTGCAAATCCAGGAGGAGAAGAAAAGTTTGAAAAAAATTATTCAAAACATGCTTTGAAAAATCTCCACAGTTTTCTCATTATTCCTTGTACAGGAAGGCGGTGTAAGATGTCCCTGCGAGCAGAACCGATGTAGGTGTTTGGTGCTGCTTAAATGTCAAATTCTGAGAAGTGATCCCCACTTCTTGTAAGCGTACCAGGAAGTTAACCTCCGTGAGTGACAGTGGAGGGCCTCCATCAGAAGGTGTTATATTTTTGTCCCCCCTCACTGTATCAGCATAGCCTGTTTGTATAAAAGCATAAGCAAGAGGCGGAGAGGTTTGTTCACGTGAGGGAAGGCTGTGTCTGTGCATGCACTGTGATTGCAGGCATTCAGTAAACGCAAAAAAAAAAAAATCAGCAAAGTTTTACTGACATTAGTCATTTAGAAAGATGTTTCCTTCTTTCATTATATACCATTTTCTGCGCGACTCTCTGGACATTTTCTTTCTTTGTACGTGCTCTGTGCTTCGCCAGTGCCATTCAGTTTCTCTGCGGTGCTGTTTGAGGGTGCGTTAGGGCTATGGTAATCTTCACTCTCCCTCTTCTCTTTACTGTTGCCCAGGGTCTTCCCCCCCGCCCGCCAAATGGCTTGACTTTTTTCTTCTAAAAAAAGGGAGATTTGGGTGCCGAAAGCAGGATGCAGGGTGTCCCTGTGGGTGCAGAGCTTCGCCAGGCGCGGCTGTGAGGGCAGGCGAGGAGGAGGGAGCCGGGCGCCCGCAGCGGGGGGCGC